TTAACTTTGCCTTCAAAGCTCCAATACTTTCAACAGAAGTAGAAACATCAACAACAAATTCAACAGAATCACTCATTTCTGGACTCCTGTAGAAGTTACCGATTGGCTTGGTTGCCAGAACCGAATTTGGATAGAAAATCTTTTCATTGTCATATCTCAGAAAGACGGTAGTTAGTATGTTCATCTCTTCCACAATCATCTGGGAACCATAATAAATTTGTCAGTCAGGTATGTTTTCATGAATGAATGTTGAGAGTTTAGAGTTGAAAACTACCTGAACTCCATCAATAACACAACGATCACCAACATCAAAAGGGTGCATCACAAAAACAAATATAATGGCTTCAAATACAGTCTTAGCTGTGTTGCCAAACATGAAAACCACAAGTAAAAGCTGGGATGAAATAAAGACAAGAACTTCAGTTGTCAAGAAGCCCATTATAAGAAGCCACACAATAAGGATCACAATAAGCACAAGGAAAGAAGCAAGCATATTCAAGTCATCAACAGCTGTGTTGGTATCATTTAGTGAATGTACGAGCGACCGGCGTTCAAAGTAGACTTTTACCTGCAAATAAGAATAATATGTGACCATCATGCTTGTGGCATTGGAATGAGTTTTAACTTGATAACTTAACAAATATATAAGTGAGCATCAACTATATACATTCCACAAGTTTAGTGCAGCAAAATTGAAAGAAATTGGACCTCATATATTGTTCAACCAATTCATAGGATAAGACAACAATGTTAAAGGAAATTATCTGACAAAGGAAACATTTTGGAAATTGGAACTTTGTAAATGCTCTCAGTAAACATTATATAGACTATATGAAGTGACTTCACCAGCCAGTTCTTGAGAGACTTCCTCTTAATTCTTCTAGTCTCAACTGCACCTTCAAATAGTGGAAGCAAGTTTTCCACTTCTTCATTTTTCATGAATCGCAAGAGGTCATCCTTATCAATATAACTGAAATATTTGAGGGTGAAATGAGAACAAGAGGCAATTCCAGAGAAACTGAATCAGAAAAGAAAAAAAAAAGTTGCAGAGTTTTCAAAGGGTAACAATGTTACATGTGTCCTGGCTTGGCTACGTTCCCGAAAATTCTGTATGCAGCTGCCTTTGCTTCCCACTCGCTATTAATTTCATTATCTTTCTGGTAATTCTCATCTTCGTCTGGTGCATAGGAGATGGTAGACAACCCAGAACTCTTTATCACATTAATCAAACCTTTCATAGTCCAAGCAGAAACTTTTTCTGGTTTCATTTTCTTGAGCTTGTCTACATCAATGACTTGTTCTTTCTCCCCTTCATTCTCATTATTCATGGTCTTAAAACTGAGTTGCTGACTATTTGAAATCCAACCTACATTTTCAGCCACCTCCCTCAAGGGAGGACCTGAAAGAGTCTTGAGAATGTATTGATGAAAGATTGATTCTTGCACCCTGTCAAAAAATCTAGTAGATTGAAATTTTGAAGCTAAAAGTTTTATCAACAATGTTTTGACCAACCATATAGCTGCTCCAAGAAGACAAGAAGCAAGGGCCCTAGTAATGTAATTAAGAATCTTAGTAACCTTTCTGGTTCTCTCCACTCCATGGTTGAAAAGCAGTACCCATGTCAGAAGAACCAAACTTAGCCATATAAAGCCCTGAACACTCTTCTTCACACCATAGACAAAATACAAAACCTTCTTCTTAAACAAAAAGTTCCTCTCAATCAAGAAAACCAAAATATTGATAAACCACTCAGTGACCAGTCTACCACAGAGGACAACCAAAGCCAATACACACCATTTCCACAGTTCCAATCCCCAAATCAACCTTTTTTTCAATTCATTCACAGTCAAGCATGCAACAAAAAACCCCACGATGCAAGCAAAAGCAAACAACTCTACAACTCTCCACTTCTTACCAGATCTCTTGCTCACTTCAAAATTTGCAGTCTTGTACACTTCTTCGTCATCATCTTCTTCTTCCCCTAGTGTCCCAAGGAAGGGGCTTCTTGGGGTGACAACAGTAGCGTCAGGAACATTCTTATTAGGAGAATTCCTTGCAGGTGAACTTGTCTTTTGAGCCTTTTCTTCGACAAAGTTTGCATCTTTTGGACACGTTGGTTCCACCATTCTGGACTTTGGTTTTGAAAACTCCGACCGACCCATCAACCTCTTTGTAGTTGTCACCAACTCTGCGGATACTTGACCATTGCACTCTGTGATTTCACCATGAGAATCTATAAACCCTTTACCTATCTGAGTATTATGCTGAGGAGAAAGGGAACTGTTTTCAGCTACTGGGAAGCTTCTGGAAACCCTTTGCTCCTTTGTATTAATGGCTTCTTCAGTGTCTGAAATTCGTAGAACCACCTCGTTCTTTGTCTTTTTCTTGTCTGCCACGTCTCCTTCTTCTTCCATGTCAAGGTGACAACTTTTTAGTTTCTGACTTCTCCAAAAAGCAGGTCTTAGATTTCTAGGAGTGCAACAACCGTTTTCTGCAACATTGAAGCTGAAACTTGGAGAAGGTTCAACTGGGGTTGGTGAAGTCAGAAAGAAATGTTCAGGAAGGTTTGAAACTCCCTTATTTTGGGAATATAGAGGGAAATTGAGGAATAGAAAATTAAAAAAATATGAAAAATGAGATTGTTTAAGTTAAATACAAAAATAAATAAGATGTGAAATAAGTTTATGTATTATCAATAGTTTTATTTCTTATTTAGTATGATTTTTTTTATTACTTTTATAATAAAATTGTAAATATATTGATAAATTATTTATGATAGAATTATATATATAAATATTCGTAACATATAATGGAATGCTATATAATTAGAAAGATAAAATCTTTATAGTAACTTTTATTTCACACTTGATGTTCTTTTTTCTGTAAATTGTAATTTTTATTGTTATATTTTCTACGTATAATAGTTCATTTTAATTTTTTCCCTTCCCCTAATTAAGAATTTGTTTTTTTAATTTTTAAATAACTAATTTTAATTTAATTATGTTTAACAGTTTATGTTTAATTTTTATGTGCATTTAACCATTATATTTCTGTTTTCTATTTCTTCCTTAACTAATTTTTATGATTAATTAAATTCAGGAATTATGAAAAAAAAACTTATTGTTTTAACGTTAACCAAAAAAAAGTTATTAGTCTATTTGTTTGAAATACGATGAGAATAAAAGGAGTAAAAAAATGAAAGAGAGAAAGAGAAAAAATAAGAAAGAAATGTTTTAATGTGAAAAGAATAAGTGAAATATAGGAAAAGTCCCTGGGCTTTCCTTTTTACAAATTTAACGTCTAGAAACATAATATCATCATAAACCAAGTAATCACAAATCATATGTATTTTTTATCCAGCTTTCATTTTTCTTTGTTAGTAATAATTATAACCATATTGATTCATGTATAATTAATTTTTTTACCAATCAAATTAATTTTCCTACTTCATAACTGTTCTATATTAATTAGTTTATACTAATGCTTTTATACAATTATTTCTTCAATTTTCCAATTTTGTTTTTGATAATTTTTTCATACTAATTTTTTGGTTTCTTAATTTGGTTTGTAAATTTGATGGTTTCAGAGATAATCCCATAAATATGTTCAAAAGTTAAAAAATTTTAATTTATATGTAAAATTTTGATGGACTAACGAATTTATTTATATGATGATAATCATTTTGTCACTAGTTTAATCAATATCATTCGTTAAATTTGTGATCAAAATTACATTCTTTTTAATTGGTGTGAACATGTTAAAATTTTGACTTAATATAAACTTTTTAACTTTTTAATTTTCCAAATTTAATAAAATTAATATTTATTATTTATAAAGTTATATAATTCCTTTTAAAAAAAAAATTTAGAAACGTATTATTTAGTCCCTTTACATCAATTTATATATATTTATGTCTTTTTTCTAGATTTTTATATTATATTCATTTGTCTTTTTTAATTAGTTTTCTTATTAAGATACATTGATGTAATTTATTTATTATATAATTATTATAATTTTTATTTATTTTATATGTTAATAATTAAATAACAAATAATAATTTAATTTTAGTATTAGAAATTATAACTTAATATTTGCTTAAAAATATTGTATCTATTATTTAATTATTTTTTTATTACAATCGGTTCAATTATGATACTAATTCAATAAAAACGATCTTTGTTGGATAAAGATAAGTATGAATTTTAAAATATAATTTAATCTAAAAGGTTAAGCAAAAAATATGATTTTATAACCACTAGTATTACATTTAGATCTTGTATACTAACATATATGATATTATAGAATTTTGGCCTAACAAGGATTTTGCCTAAAAAAGTTAGTCTTTTATTACGTGAAATTAATTTTAAACTTTATAAAGTTTGTGGTTTAAATTTTTAATGTATATAAATCTATACAAAACATTCAACAAAAGAATTTTATTTGACAAACTATAAAAAATAAAAATTTTACACCGATATTAAATTTATCCATCAATCAAGTAGATTTGAAATTAAAATCTATCCATAATTAATTTTCAAATATTTATCTAGATATCAGAATTCGATTATTGAAAATCGAATTTTCAACTGTGTTACTTTTATAATTTTATTTTTGGAAATTTTTTTCATTTTCTTTTAAATAAAAAATAATAAAAAATTTTCTTCTTTTTTAACTTTCCAACATAATAAATTATATCTTTAAAATATACTTATAATGAAAAAATTATTTTAAATAAGTTTTTATAAAATCATATTATAGCTTTCTATTTAATTAAACAGATAGTAACTATCTGTAAATTTTTGAAATTCTTGAACTTGTAAAGTAAATAAAGAAATAACTAAAAAAACATTAAAATGACTTAATTTAGTTTATGGGCTAGCCCAGCCTAACCCTACCGCCAGCCCACTTTATTTGGGGCTTAGGGGTTGGGGCTTTTAAAAGCCCTCCTATGGGGGCTATAAAAATGGAGCTTGATTCGAAGGATTAGGTCAACCCCTGTGTCAGGGACTGACACTCTAAACGAAGAAGCATATGTCACAAGTTATGTTATG